ACAAGATCCAATAACTGGGGATGTCAACAGGGCCCCACAGGGTCTAGGAGTCCCTCCCTATCCTTGCGGGGATTTTTTACCGCGGGGGGGGGGGCAAATTTGCCCCCCATCCTGTTCCCCACTCCACAGGAATCCCCATTCCCCACCAATTAATATCAAAATACAATTTTTTTACATATAATTAATTAATATTCAATTATAATGAACAAAATTCTAAAAATTCAAGTACAATTGACTAAAATTCTTTAAATGTAAAATCAAATATAAATTGTCCAAACATAAATAAAGATCAATTCAACATAAATAGCTAAATCAACAAACTTGTTGATGATGGGTTGCGTTAATTTTTATGGGTTGGATTGGGTAAAATTGGGTTAAATTTAATTTTTATTGGATTGGATTTGGGTTTGAAGATTGAATTAAATTTAAAATAAAATTAATTTATATATTTTTTAAATTTTTTACGGGGATGGGGATCCCTGCGATGCCCTGCGGGGCAGGAAAAATTCCCCATGAAATTTCACAAGGAGAAAATGCCCCCCATCCCTACCTTCCTCCATGCCCCATCCTCATGGTGAGGATCTCCATTGGGCCCTGCAGGGATCGAGGTAAATTGCCACCCCTACCAATAACTTGGTATAATTACATGATAACGAAGGGACACATGTTAGATACAACAACATGGTGAGAATTTAAGGACCGTTATGACTAGAACTTCTAACTCTACAAAGGCAGAGATAAAATGAATGTATGCATGCTAGTATAGATGAGTGCATGTATGAATGGGAGCCCATATACATATATGTGTGTGTGTGTGTGTGTGTGTGTGTGTGTGTGTGTGTGTGTGCATGCATCTGTAAATGCCTTTATGTACATGCTTATATGTGTATACACGCATATATGTGTAGTATGCATGTATCAATGCTTGAATGAATACTAGAATAGAAGAATGCAAGGTAAAATGCCTTAGAAATTCAACTACAAAATGGCATTAACAAGGAATCAAGATCAAGTTTAACTAAGTAGTCATAATAAAGAAGCAACATTTAACCATGAGCTAAGTAATAGGACTCAGATTTAACTCATAAGAAGATTTCAATAATGAAAACTATAACAAAGATTCATAAGTAGATATAGCCAGGACATCAAGATCAAGTGTCTTAAGTAATTATAATTAATTAATGAAACAAAACCATAGTTGGGATCA